GCAAAATTGATTACGTAATTTCATGTAAAAAATATCATGGCAAAAAAATTCACATGATCATATGAAATGTCGGATAACGATAATTTCACCGACAATCACTCACCGACAGCTCATTTAGCCGACATCACGCCAGGTGAAATTTAGTCAAAATATATACCTGCAACTAATCAAATGCTTAACCCTAACCCTATGTGATGTCGGTTAAATGAGCGTTCGGTGAAATGATTGTCGGTAAATTGATCGGAACCGATGCAATTAGATCTACGATAAAGATGTAATCTAGGGATGTTTTTCTAATTTCATATTGATAACAACTCTGACATAAAAATAAATTATTCTAATATTATTTCCATTATGATAAGTTAAATTTTTGTATTATTTCTGGAAGAAATGTAGGTTTTGTAAATCTATTCACTAAGACACATTAATTTTCAGAATTTAAAATAAATAACGGATTAGTACATATTTATTACAGCTGCAAGTCACTCTTGTACTTTGCAAGTTACCGATAGGTTTAAACTTACATAGTTTCATAATGCCTTATTATTTAACTGATTCGAAAATTAATTAAAGAACTTGAAATAACGGCTATAGCACCTGAATAAATTAAATGTTTTTTCAAGAAAGCCTTAGAAATTAAAAGACTTTGCATTCATGAAAAGTCAATTTATTAGTTTAGATTAATAAACCGCACGACAAAAATTTCGAACGCAAAATGAAAAAACAACTTTGTGTCGCCTAATACTTAAGTAATACAAAATAATATCATTACAGACTAATTTATTGCGGTTTGCAAAATTATGTGAAATTTAAAGATCAATAAAAAAAAAAAAGTAATCACTAATTTCCGATTACTAATTTCCGATTTCTTCAACATTTTTTTGATTTTTAGACTAGACAAAATTTGCGCATTTATCATTTGTAAAATATTTTAATGCGCAACTCCTATTTTTGCAAATATATTACAAAATGATGAATAAGCAACTTTTATTTCTATAAAAAATAATAAAATTTTTACAAAATAATTGATACGCGAATTTTATATAATCTAAAAGTAAAAAAAAAAGATGTTGAAGAAATCGGAAATTAGTAATCAGAAATTAATGATTACTTTTTTTTTTTTAATGATCTTCAAATTTCACATAATTCTGTAAACCGCAATAAATCAATACAAAGAAAATTTGAATATAAACAAATTAAATGAGTATAAGCTCAACTTCAAATAATTTGATTGATATAGCGATCAGATCAACATAAAGAAATTGAATAAATACATTTAAGATACATTAATGACAATACGGTGAGTGTCCAGCACCTGTAATTTGATATGAGAAAGCTGTAAGTATTGAAATTTTGAGAACACGTAAAATTAATAAGTCTATATTTATAACATTTTTATCATTATATCAAAATTTAAATAAAGCTAAATTTAAATTTGATTATGACTAAAAATGGGGATAGTCTAAAGCCAAGTAATAATTTATAGTCTCACATGAATTTTACTTTAAAAATCTATAATATATTAAAAAAATTGGATTTTTGCAAGGTAGACGGACATTGCATATTCGTGTTACATAGCTGCATATTTTGCCTTATTTAGCACATGTTCGTATAATGACTCCCTATTTTAATCACATGTTCGTGTAACGATTTCCCACGTGCTTTATTCATATTTCGTGTAACGTATTCATGTGTTAATTTATATATAATACGTACGTATTTTATTTTTTTTTGCTGCAACCGCGACTTGAATTTTTATATTTGTTATTATGGATAACGTTAGTGAGACCTCTATTGAACGAAGACGTAGATTGAAAAGAGAATCTGCTGCTCGACAAAGAGCTAACCAATCTTCAGAGCAAAATGAACGCCGTAAAAGGCAATATAGAGAATCAAAGGGTCAAAAAATTACATGTGACGCACCTGCTGAACTTACTCAAAGTTCTCAAATACTGTCCCATGATTGTATTCCAGTTGTATCTCCTACTAACGCTACTAACCTTTTTATGCCCCCTAACCCTAACGTACCCTTCTTAGGACCTTTTCATCATGAAGATGCTCTTCTGGATAATTCTCAAACTGTCGATTTTCATGTTTCTCCTGTTATTACAGTACCAAGTGTTTCAATTCCAAAAGCACGTGTGTATCCTTTTAATTCAAGTAGGCTACAACGACATACTCTTGGAAAAATGAATATTTCATATGTTTCTTGTGGTGCCTTAAAATGGGTAAACGAAAGAGTTGCAGGTTAGACTAAACATTTACCTGTATTTGTGACCTGTTGTGCTAGAGGAAAAGTTTTGCTACCATGTCTTCAGGAACCTCCAGCTGAATTAAAATCTTACTTAACAGGGATGATGAGTTTTCACAAGAATTTCACCAAAATATCCGTGCTTATAATTCAACTTTAGCTTTTACTTCTATGGGAGCTAAAATTGACCATCGTATAACTGGCACAAGAGGTCCTTATACTTTTCGTATACATGGTGAAATGTATCATAGAATTGGGTCTCTTCTTCCTCAACCAACTACTGAACTTCCTTTATTTGCACAACTCTATATTTTTGATACTAATAACGAGGTTCAAAATAGGCTTAATACTATGCCTTCTTTAAATCAGGTAACTCTGGCTGCTCTTCAAAATATGCTTCATGATACTAACCTATATGTACAAGTTTTTTAGCAAACAGGTAGATTGTTACGACAGAATCTATCTCAACAGTTGAAAATGGTAATTACAGATTCAAGAATGACTGATTCAAGACGTTATAACATTCCAAGCGCTTCTAAGATTGCTGCTATTATAGTAGATGATAATAATAATACATCTACTATATGCAATCGTGATATTATTTTACATTTCCATGATGGAGGTCTACAGCGTATATCTGAGCTTCATAGAGCATATGCACCGTTACATTACGTTCTTCTTTTTCCAAGAGGGAAAGATGGATGGCATCCGAAAATTCCAATCCGTGATGAAGCACAATTATCTTTTCTTGATATTGAACAACAACATAATATTGATGATGCTATCGATGCAGACGATAGCGTTAAACATCAAAAACATGTTACTATGATGCAATATTACACATATCGACTGCAAGTAGGTAGACCTGGAGAAGGAATGAATCTTTATCTATTTGGACGTCTTTTCCAACAATATATCGTTGATGCATATGCAAATGTGGAACAAAATCGGCTTAACTATTTAAAGTGCAATCAAAAAAAGATTCATGCAGACCTTTATAGTGGTCTTCATGATGTATTAAGTACACAAGATGAAGTATCTCAGAATTTAAATGTTGCAAATATTGGCAGGTAAATTATTCTTCCATCGAGTTTTACTGCTGGGCCATGACAAATGCAGCAGCTATATCAGGATGCGATGGCTATTGTACGCGAAATAGATAAACCTGATCTTTTCATTACATTTACCTGCAATCCAGCTTGGCCCGAAATTACTTTAGAACTTCTTAATAATCAGGTAGCCTCCGATCGCCCTGATCTCACGGCTAGAGTCTTCAATATGAAAGTGAAAGCTTTAATGGATGATATTCTCAAAAATCATATTTTCGGAATAGTTGTGAGTTATGTTTATATTATTGAATTTCAAAAGCATGGTCTTCCTCACGCTCATATCCTTTTAATTCTTAATCAAAGTAGCAAGCCAAGAACTATTGTAGATTATGATGCTATCGTATCCACTGAAATCCTTGATAAAAATCTTCATCCTTTGGCATATGATACTGTTTGCCAATAGATGATGCATGGTCTATGTGGTTCTGCTTATCCAAATGCGCCATGTATGAGAGAAGGGAAATGTTCGAAATGATATCCACACACCTTTTGTACCACTATATCTGTAAATGAAGATGGTTATCCTATCTACCGCCACTTTCATGATGGTCATTCTCTCAAGATTAGAGGTGCACTGTTAGATAACCGCTGGGTAGTACCACATAATCTTTATCTTGCTACAAAATATAATGCACATATTAATGTTGAAATATATTCTTCCATAGCCGCTGTTAAATATCTTTTTAAATATGTTTATAAGGGCCATGATCGAGCAACAGTTGAAATAGGAAGACAAACTAGAGTAAGACCAACAAATGAAATTAATGAAATTAGCCTTTATTTAGATGCTCGCTACGTTTCTGCCTCAGAAGCCGCATGGTGACTATTTTATTATAAACTACATAATGAGAAACCTAATATTATGAGGCTTCATGTTCATCTCCCTGGCCAACACACTGTATATTATTGAGATGATGAAACTTTAGTAGAGATACTTGAGCATGAAAACACTTCTGAGACCACTTTAACTGCATGGTTTAAAGCAAATGCACGGTTTCCAGCTGCACGTGAATTAACATATGGTAATTTTCCTACTCAATGGGTTTACCATAGAGACCACAAGGAATGAAAACCTAGACAACGAGAAAATAGTATTGGTCGTATGTATTTTGTACATCCAAAAGCTGGAGAACGTTACTATCTTCGGATCATACTAAACGTAGTGCGTGGTGCAACATTCTTCGATCATCTTAGAACTGTCAATAATGTTCTTTATCCTATTTTTAAAGACGCCTGTGAAGCTTTAGGTTTACTTCAAGACAATAAAGAATGGGACGATTGTTTAAATGAAGCTCAACAAATACAATCTGGATCACAAATGCGGTATTTGTTTGCTACAATTCTTATGTTTTGTTATCCCACTCACCCGGAATTACTTTGGCAAAAATACATCACATCTTTTAGTGATGATATACTTTATCAAACCCGTTTAGAAGCAGAAAGCAACCCTTCCTATACTTTTACTGAATCTGATATATACAATATAGCATTAACAAGATTAGAAGCTATTTTGATCAGAAATGGATTCCGTCTTACCGATTTTCCAAACATGCCTTTACCGCTTCAATTATTTAACAATCATATTCAGCAAAATTATTTACTCGCAAAAGAGTTGCAATATGATCGTGATTTTCTTAAAGTTAGAGCTCAGAATGCCTATTCACGTTTAAACTCAGAACAGCGCTCCATTTTTGATGCAGTAATTACAGCTATAGAAAATCAAAGTGCTGCTATGTTTTTCATGGATGGTCCTGGAGGTTCAGGTAAGACATTTTTATATGGCGCTATATTAGACAAAATTAGATCTACTAGAAATATAGCGCTTGCAGTAGCTACTTCAGGCATTGCAGCACTTTTACTAGATAGAGGTTGTACTGCGCATTCCCTTTTTCGGATTCCATTTGAGTTACATGAGGATTCTGTATGTAATATATCACATGGGTCAGATCATGCAATTATTTTACAGCAAGCAAGCCTCATTATTTGGGATGAGGCTCCTATGGCAAATCATTTTGCACCAGAAGCTGTTGATCGAACTCTAAGAGATTTAATGAAAGTGATAGATCCAGCTTTAGAAAATCAGCTTTTCGGTGGAAAAGTTATTGTATTTGGGGGCGATTTTCATCAAATTTTACTAGTAGTACCTAAAGGAAGAAGAGAAGACATTGTTGACTCCTGTTTATTGCGATCTCCTCTATGGTGTCACATAAAAGTTATAAAATTAACCATTAATATGCGGTTACTACAAGCTAAAAGTGCACAGGAAACTATTGAACAGCAAAACTTTGCTAATTGGCTTCTAGAAATTGGTGAAGATTGTGCTGAACGTATTGCTGAAAAAGGCAACTGTATTAAACTTCCATCTGATATTTGTCTCCCTTCACAAAGTATAGACGCATTAATAAATTCTATTTATCCTAATATTTCATTTCATGCTGGTGATCCAAATTATTTGATGGAACGAGGAATTCTTGCTCCAAAAAATACTGACGTTCAAGTTATTAATTCAACAATCATGAATATATACCCGGGTGATGATAATGAATACTTGAGTGCTGATAGTATTGATGAAACTCAACATAATAATCAGGAACATAATTACCCGACTGAATTTCTAAATACTTTAAATGTCAGTGGCTTACCACCACATAAGTTATCATTAAAAATAGGTGGACCGTTTATACTTCTTCATAATATCAATCCTTTGGAAGGTCTTTGTAATGGAACACATTGAATTTGCTGTTCATTTGCACGCCATGTGATTGAAGTTCAAATTATTACTGGAACACATGCTGGATCACGTGCATTTCTTCCAAGAATTTCTCTTACACCTTCAAACACATCTTTTCCATTTTCTCTTACTCGCCATCAATTTCCTTTACAACCTGCCTTTGCTATGACAATAAATAAAGCGCAAGGCCAGACCTTAAATAATATTGGAGTTTATTTGCCTACGCCTGTATTTTTCCATGGTCAACTTTATGTTGCTTGCTCTAGGATGACTTCTAAACGAAATCTTAAGATATTAACCACAGGTCAACATACTGATACTGGATATACTCAGAATATTGTATATCCAGAAGTATTACAATCGTAATACTTTTTTTTTTTTTATCTTATTATTCCTACTCCTACTTTATTATTACTTACGCACTAACTTTTCTTAACGCTCATCTTTATTTTCTTTTTTTTCTAGCCATTCTAACTTATTCTTTTTTTCTAATTTTCATATTTTTTTTTAACTTTATTAATACTTTTTTTTTTCTTTCACTTACAGTTTTCTCGACTATCCTACCTTTTATGCTTAAATAAGTTCCGTCACATCTATTATATTAAAATCCATTAGTTGAAATAACTACTATCCGAATTATATAAGTCTAGCATCACTACCCTAAAAAAATCCGTCTATTATTAGATCTTAGAAATTGTTCCCGATTAGTTTAAGTTTAGAGTCCCATCAGTAGGGTAATGCTTGCGTTAAAAAGCTTTAATTGTAATAAAATTTCGTAAGGAAAATTTTTATTAGTACACACACGCACTTTCATAAGCAATATTTTAAGCTACGTGTATTTTTTGTTATTTTGCATTTTTTTGCCTTCTTTTGCATTACATGATTTAATTACTATTCCCAAATGAATTCCGTCATTATAAGAATTTTATTCTAATAAGATACATAAAGGAGCCAAGATGGAGTAACATATAGAAAAGATTCGTTAGACATGTAAAACATTTTCGGGTTTACCTCTGATTTATTAATATGTAATTCGGTACCCAAAATTTAAAATTGGAAACCAAATACTCAAATTTAATGGCATAAATTTCATAAATTCAGCATAATGAAACTCGCTATAATTTTCCAAATTATAAA